TTCATGCGACATGCCGTCCTCATCGGCATTATGGGCGTACCCGTGAACGTTTCGAGACAGGAATGGAGATTGTCAAGACGTGGCAGCTCTCACTATAGCCGCCCTTGCTGCTCGTGCAAGTAGCCGAGGATCCCTTGCAGGATATTGCCATGCAATGAGGGCAACCTCTTGTTATTTGGACCACACGTATGGTAAGGATAGTCCAACAGCACGCCAGATGGAGAAGATACAGTAAAAACAAGTAAAATGGAGCCCCCGGAATGAACAGCAGTAGCATTCGACTTTACTAGCACACAATGCTGCATTTGCCACGCGAGATCTCCAAACTCAATGGGTGTTGTTTCCCACTGTATTTCACATCGGGCCGAAGTCAGACTGACAGGATCCACCTCGACGAAGAACGCCCATCTCCTTTTGGTTTTCATTCTTTCGAGACTCGTAGCCTGCCTACTTGAAGACTTTGAGATCCCCACCCATGTCAATTCCCGCTCGATCAGGCCTTGCACTAGACCTATCTATGTCCTCCAGAGCATCACAGTCCGCATCAGTACCGCCCTCAACGACCGTTGATACCGACTCTCCACTTTCAGAAGAGCGACATGAGCTCCTTGATTTTCGAAAACCTATCGCGGACGAATATGATCGTCACACCAATCTCATCAGCAAACTGGAGAAACAGTTGGACGCGTCTGCGGAAGTCGTTGATCAGGTATTCGGTGACGTTCTGAAGTGCTACCCAGGCAACGTGCGTCTCCCTCGATATCCTCCCCCTTTCCCTTGACATTTACGTTTGCAAATTCTCACCAATAGTTCACGCTTGAAATTTTGTACCTGCAGAACGTTCAAAAAGCTGCGCGCACCGAGAAGCTTGAAGATCTATTCAAAGAGTTTCTGTCTAACAGTCCATATGTGGAGGTGTGGAATGCATACTTGACCTATGTGAAGTGATGCTCCCTCTCTCGTTCGCACGGTCTATGGCTGATTGTCATTCAGAAATAAGCATTCGGACACGCACGAACAAGAACGGACGGAAGCAATCGACAGGGCGCTCACTTTTGCTACCACTTACATTGGACATGACTCGGAGTCTGGAGAGATTTGGATTGAACGAATCAAGCGGGAGAGACGGCGCAAGGTCAGCACTGCATGATAAGAACTGTCCCTCTTTTCGAGCGAGCACGAGCAGAGAACTCGGGAGGCGAGAGAGAGAATATCTCTCTCTGTGTATGTGCGAGTCGAGTCAGATGTGGTCGCAGTGGATCTCACTTCCACATCTTCCCCGCTTTGATAGGAGAACTGACCACTACTATGTTGTAGATCACGAGCGTGAGCGACCAGGACGTCAAAGCGGACACAGTCCGCACCCTATGCACGAACGCGCTGCAACACCCTCTGAGCAACATTGATGACATATGGGAAGAATACATAGACTTTGAACACGAGCGTGAATCACAGACAGGCGTGAGTTACGGGTCTGCCTCTTATATGTCGTTGACATTCAGTCATATCGCAGACAGTTGCGCACACAGACCAACTTCATGAGATCTATAGGCGATCCAAATCAGTTCTCGCAGAGCTGCGTAGTCACTTGAAACGCATTAAGCCTCTCCGACTCAATCCCTCTATCGGCATCTGGCTCCCTCGACGACCGCACTTTACTGCGAGTGATCTCACGCAGGTGGGAGCCTGGAAAAAGTATCTGAGGTGGGAGATGTCCAACCCTCTGGCTCTAAAAGACGAGGGAGAGGTGTCGAGACGTGTGAGGAGTGCATACATAAAGGCTATGACGGAGATGCGCTTCTTTCCAGAGATTTGGAACATGGCTTACAACTGGACGTGTGCGGAACAATCAAGAGGGGACGCAATGGCTGTTCTGAGCAATGGTATCTACGCCAACCCTGATAGCTTTCTGTTGAACTTTGCTCGCGCCGAGGCACTTGAAGTTAAGTCCGACATTAGTGGTGCTCACGACACGTACCGTTCATTTATAACGGTCATGCGCTCAAATCTCGTGCTTCGTCGAAACACACTGGCGTATTCAAGAATGGAGGAGACAAAGATTGGAGCGACGGCCTTGAAAACCAATGTTCTACCCGGTACGGACGACGGCCTGGAAAAGCTGAAAAAAGATTGCAGGGATGAGTACGCAAATGACGTAAAACGCAGAGAAACCGAGTATGGAATAATATGGATAACGTACATTCGGTCTGTGCGTAGGATGGAAGGTCTGGTGGCTTGCAGGGAGGTCTTTCGCCAGGCATCTTTGGACGATCTCGTCCCCTGGAGCGTGTACGAAGCGGCGGCGCTTATGGAGTACCACGTCGGCCGGTGTACAAAAATGGCTACAGCAGTATACGAGCAGGGCCTGAGGCGCTTTGGAAGCGATCAAGATTATGTCTCGAGTTACCTTCAATTTCTCATCTCGGTCAATGACATTGGTAGTGAGCAAGTTTCTTTGTTTTCTGCGCCATCGTTTCTCTCAATTTCGACTCAGACGCAGACGCTCTTCTCAAGCGCTCTCAGGGATTCGTCTCGAGTGATTCCGCACGTCCCCTTTATACGAGGTGGATGAGACATCAGAGCATGCACGCTGACCTCGGCACGGCATTGAAGTTGCAGGACGAGATGAAGGTTCTATACCCCAAAGGTGTGCTAGAGAGTCACCCCATGTATCGCGCATATCATCTGATTGCTGACCTATTCCCGTTGACAGACTTCGGCCTCAGATGGTTCGCTATGCGTCATGATCATGACAACGTGGACGCAATCGCAGCACGGGACGTAGGACTAGCATATCGATCACAGACCCTGGCGACCAGCGCTTGTGAGACTCCAGCGCCAGCTCCAGATATCAAGCCCAAACACAGTGTAAGCAGCGTGCAGGATCGCCGTCGGGATTACAACCATGCCAAGCACTCCAGTCAATACACCAATAGCTCAGACAAGAGTATCACACACAGGCAATCTACACCGCAAAATTCTGTGTCTTCTTCTTCGATCAACAAGACCAGTGATCGAAATTATAGTCGTTCATCTGCGCACGAGCAATCGACCAGACGGGTTCACGCCACGGGCCATGTCACTTCCTCATCACCGCGGCTGCCACAAGTCATAGAGCGCCTGATAGAGTCGCTTCCTCCTGCATCAACGTTCTACGGTACGTGGCTCTTCTCTGGTCACGATGAAGACTCACGTTGACGCGCGGCCGCTTATAGGCCCACACGTTAATACGGATATCCTTATGGCTGTCCTGAGCGACCTACCAATGTCCATTCCTGCTCCTCTAGACGCAAGCCGGTAGCGTCTAACAGTGTTCCCGCGTCCATTCAAACAAACGTGGATGTCAACGTCATGTTATGCACCTCGCAATCGTGGCATTTCTTTGTGAGCTCGCGAGACAAGTCTGACCTTCATCAGACGTATTAAATCAACAACAAGCCTGAGAGCACTGGCTCAGATATATAGAGCAAATGGATGCCATCGAATTTAGTGACCTATGCCCATGTTAACGAATCAGAGCTCTGAGAATGACACCCCTCACCGATGAATAATGAGGGAGTGCCGTAGTACAAAGGAAAGAGCATGGTGCCTCTAACACTTGCCAAACGAACGCCCATTAGTTTGTCCCAGTGTATGGATCAGACTGATTTAGTTAAATCCTACGCCTAGTATACATGACAATCTGTACGAGGCATTTGCCACCGTTCTCGTTTCTGAGACCTTCGCCTGCACGCGTCCTTATGACATCAGATACAACAGATCGTGTTGTGTTATTGACAAAAAAACAGAGAAGGGAAGAAAGTCAACAGAAATCCAATAAAAGGATGCCGCATTTCGTCGAGAAGAGACAAGATGTCGTATTGAATCTCCACAATTGACGGCCTGATGAACCTGTGGTTCAAGAGGTTGCCAGGGAAGAAGCGAGGGGAGAAGACTGAGCCTCGATATGTCCGAAATCCCATGCTTTGAAACAAAGACAGAGGCCAACATAGATTATCAACTATAACACCCAACACTCGATCCAAAACTGTAGGCGACGCGAGCTCGACAGGCAATAATATATTCATTCATGATACGCGTCTTTGTTCTTACTGCACCCATACAGTCTCACGTACGGCTTTAACCTCGGGTATCTTGAAAGAAGCATTTGGTGCCTACGGCGGGGCTCAGCCTCTGAGCTTCAGCCATTCCACTAAAGTGCTAACGTGCTAATGGGTTGCCCAAATAAGCCCACATTGTGCTGCGTCCTAACGTTCCAAGTCCTAATGGTCCTAAAATTAGGGCATTTTAGGGCAGTTAGGGGCATCAAAGAAGTTCAGATGGCCCGGCCGGCCGGCCGCAGCTCATGACAATCGACCTTGATAGATAAAGACGAGGACGGAGGACTGGGTCGAAAGACGAGTAAAATGGAAGAGAGTAAGCACATGGCTCTCCAAACTGTGGTGCAAAAAGGGAGTCCTTCGCGATGTTGCATACTGTAGTTTTACGACCGGGTGTTTGTCACGCATCACGCCGCGCCGCCGAACTGAACAGTTGATGCGGTTTGTCCCACGTCACGGTCAGTCTTCGAACTGAGAGACGGACGGCGCTTGTGCAAAGCGCCCTCTCGAAGAAGCTATGGGCGTCCGAATCGCGTCTGATACTGTCGCCGCAATGCTCTTGGCGAACAGCGATGGCAGTGGAACAGGTGGCCTGTCACCCGTCACGCAAGACCCGGGCAAACATCCGGTCGTAGAACTACGGTAAACTCTGGGTTCATCAAGAGGTGTAGCGAACTCGTCTGGAATAGATCTCCAGAAGAAACCCTCATTGAGCGCGCGCCAATTCTGCCAGAGTCACCGATTGGTGTGTATCCGAATAGACCCACCCCAGCTCGCACGCCGCCAGATCGACTTAGGAGCCTTTGATCGGGCCGATCACGGATCGATCCAACAGTCACTCACTCAAAAGCACGCTCCGCATACCCGACGTCCCTAACCGTTTCAGACTCCCCTCCTCTCATGCAGTCGCGACTAGGCTTTCGCATGGAGAATGCAGATCCCTGCCCCCAGGTGGTTGTAGATTTCATCGCGAGGCTACCACTTGAACTTGCTGTCGACGTCTTGAAATGGGCGCCCTTCGATGCCGTCGTTCGCGCTCGACGGGTCTCCAAACTGTGGAATTCCATCATCAGCTCGGACACAACGCTATGGAAGGAGTTGTTAAGCCGGTACAATCTCTGGCTCGGCGGTGACTCTGAGACCTTGTTCGTTGATGCCGTAAAGCGTCGTCGTCTGCGACAGAAGACGATGACCACTCCACACGGTCTTACGCTGGAAGAGCCATACAGCGCACTGTTCAAGACCCGTTTTATGACTCGGGGGCTGTGGAACAACAACAAACCCCCGTTTCACATCGCGTTCCCCGTTCATGGACGTTCGGCGGTCACCTGTCTCCTCCTAGACGAAGGCCGCATAATATCTGCGTCCGAAACGTCCGTCATACAAGTGCACTCCGTTATCAATGGTGCCCACATTCACTCCCTGCGTGGTCATGATAACGGAGTCTGGGCGTTAGCTTCGGCCAATAACACTCTCGTCAGCGGCTCCATCGACCGCACCGTCCGTATCTGGAACCTGATAACCGGTCGGTGCACGCACGTATTCGGTGGTCATACCGCAACAATTCGCTGCATTGTCTTTGCTATGCCGGAACAGCCAGCAATCACCGAAAGAATTGAGGCCCTACGCAGCAAAGATGTCTCTGAGCGCCCGCTTATCATCACCGGCAGCCGCGACGGCTCCCTAAGAGTGTGGGCACTCCCACCATCGGCCGATATTCGACAAAAGGGTCATCTGCATACCACCGCAGATACGCTCCATCATTATGTAATGGGGTACATATTTCTGCATCGTCCGGAAGCGCTGAGTGACTTTTGATGATTAGGACGTCGACACAAACCCCCATCATAAACTTCACCTGCGAGGCCACCGCGATAGTATTCGGGCATTAGCCGCGTACGGACGCCAAGTGATTTCCGGGAGCTACGATTCAACAATTCGCGTATGGGACACACGCGACGGAAGATGTAAACTGGTATTAACCGGCCATACGGGCAGGGGTGAGATTTTCGCCCGACCCATCGCATTTGACCCAAGACTGAAAGACCGTTACCAGTGTATAACGTCGTTCTAGATATTAAGAGAAACCGATTCTGTTCTTCGTCCATGGACGGCACTGTGCGAATTTGGGATCTCGAGACCGGTGAATGCGTTCGCGTTCTTCAGGTGTCTGCTGCCCCGGATCAGGTTGCACAACTTGGCGTATCGCAAACACATATCATCTCTGCGTCCTGCGACTCGGACATCATGACATGGGACTCTCAGTCAGCTCGTCTTTTACATGCAATATCCGAGGGCGCGGCGGATAGACTTTGCTTAAGATACGATCTCTTCAAGGTCGTGTCTGGCACCGACAGAAGTCTGAGGGTATGGGACACTCGAGACGGGACCCTCATTAGAGAGCTTCTGAGCGACGTGGGACACGTCCTTCATGTTGAAATCAGCGGTCCTTGGTGCGTTGCAGTGGTCAGTGCGAGGGAAGCGTGTACAATCCGTGCGTGGCTCATAACTCGACAATGACTCTCACTGACTGAACGGAGCAGACATATGGGACATGAGATCGACATCGAACGGAGTTAGATCTAGGACAGACTGGATCACGGAGTCGATAAACGGAGTGTATGTGGAAGACTAACCTTTGGAAGAACCCCAGAATGGAACGGACGAAACTAGAAACCATCCTCCATAGTCCCATGGCACACAGAAGTGACATACATACAGGCATACATCTCCTCTGTCTATCGGAGCTTTTACATATAGAGTTAGATGACTATGCCTGTTGCTTTTCTCCATATCCCGAGGTAGTGATAGCAAGAGCTCAACGACACAAGTGCACGACGCCATGAATAGGTCATAAGCAGCACCCAAATCACGACACAACACGTGTGCTAAAGTTCTGCACAACCTTCCTCTTTCCCTGACGTCCCTTATGTTTTACGAAGCTTCACCGCGTGCATGACACGCACACTATGTACCCCCTCTCGTCTAGATTCCCGCACATCCGAAGCCCTTGTCATAGAAGCCGGGAGACTAGCTGAGCTACTTACCACCCTATGTGACGAGTTATCTCGGAGGCCTTCAACGGATCGACGTTAGATGTATACATTTGTCATACGACGCAACGACAAGATTTGCCAACATATGCACGAGAGCAGCGCGACCAGCCGTACGTGTCTGCGCGTCTACCGTTCAATGGGCTTAACGCAACCGAAAGTTCCAAGGCTTTTATGGACTAGTGGTAGCGCCGCGTACGGTACCATGATTAGGGTTCGATTCCCAATCAAGCCACTGTGCAACAAATGTATTTGGAAACACTCTTTGTTCGCATTTTTATCTCGACTCTGGTGAACGACAAAATACAAAGTGCACTTCTGCACACGCAACTTGTGCTGTCAAGCCTACAGACAAGATGTGGAAGACGAGTCGCTTGGAAAGCGGATACCTTTTTTGCACCGGGAGTGTGATTCAAGCGAGCTTCACGGACCGTCAAATACATAAACACCCAAGACCGTACATGCACCACTCTTCACTTCAGCAGGTATCTAGGCATGAGCGAGTCGCAGTCTATCGTTTGGAAGATCGGGATGGCGCTCCAGGCGTTTGAGGGAACGGCTGTCAGGGATCTCAGCACAACATCTTTCTCTCTCTCTCTCTCTCTCTCTCTCTCTTTTTCACAAACACACACGCACATCAACAACAGTCGCTTGACAGTGAATAGAAATAAGGACAGGAACCGACTCGAGAACGAGAGGAAGTTGGAGAGGACATATAAGGCAACACGGCGCGTAGCTGAGGTTTGACCTGGCGTCACATCAATCAATATGCCCGCCTACCACACACACATGTACGTAGAGCTCCTCCCACGTCTGTCAACGCTTTCTTCCACGTCCCCTACTTCTAACAACTGCGCGCCCTTTGCCACGCCCGCGCGCGCGCCTGGCGGGAGTGGAGCCAGAGCCCGAGCTGGAGCTGGAGCTAGAGCTCTCCAACTCTTCCTTTTCTTTAGCATCGTTTCTGGTCGTAGATAGAGCGGTGCGAGCGCGTCCATGATATGCCCTTCCGCGCACGCCTCTACGTCCCTGTCGCACGACTCTGCCTGTCCCGCGACCTTGATTTTTCAAGGATTTCGCTTCAGACGTGCTATCGCTGACGTCCGCCCGCACGATGTCGTCTTGATCTACGTCCATCTCATCATCGAAGAATTCATTGTCAGCCGTGGCTAGGGGCACTTCTCTTGTCTCTTCAACAGCGTCTAAGGCCTCTAGCTCCTTGCGCGCTTGTTCCGCAAGCCAATTCTCAAGATCAGGGGGCACCTCCGCCATGGCAACGCTAGGTGCATGCGACAAGTACCGCAGCCTCTCCGCAATGTGCATCCTGATATCCTGCAAGCTCCTGACCGTGTTCAAGTTCTCTCCCTCACCGACGAGCGTGGGATGAAGCCGGTGTCCGGAGCTGGTGAATTGTGCGTCGTACATCGTGTTGGGGAGCTCGTTCGCCAAATCGACTCCGGCCAAAACGCCCGTTTCGTATGTCCAGCAACGCGCAACATTTCTCAAGGTGTATCCTCCTCCGCCAACGACAAGCACTGGGACGTTATAGGTCAGGACATGCCTGACGCACTCGCCATGCGCCGAGATGCTGAGGTTGAAAGCCCCGAGGCGGTCCTGGCCGAGAGAGTCAGCGCCGCATTGTAAAACAATGACAGACGGCCGGAAGTGATCGACAGCGTCGTTGACAATTTCCTTGAACAGGACGGTGTACATGTCGTCCGTAATCCCGTCCTTCAACGGCACATTCAACGCAAAATGCTTCCCTACCCCCGCGCCGTTGTCTTCCAACTTTCCTGTCCCTGGAAAGAAATCCTGGGTATACTTGTGGAAGGATACTGTCATCACGCGATTGGTATGGTAAAACGCTTGCTCGACGCCGTCTCCGTGATGGATGTCAATGTCAATGTACATCACCCGCGGATGGTACCTTTGCCAACGATGAGCGTCGTGTTGACAATACAAACGTGACGGCGAACGTACTTCAGCATCTCCAGAATGGATATGACGACATCGTTCAGAAAGCAAAACCCGCTGGCTTCGCCTCGCTTGGCGTGATGTAGACCACCTGACCAGTTGATCGCGACGTCCGTCTCTCCCGCACAGATCTTGCTCGCTGCGCGTAACGAGCCGCCGACGCACATCTGGGACCATGGGTACATGCCGTCGAACGGCGGGTTCTCTTTGTTGACGTTATACTTTTTCATGAGCGCCTTCATCTTCCCGGCGTTGTCTGGTGTGACCCTGAGCGAAGAACCGTCAGAAGGGTTTCCCGCGGTGAAGCATCGGAAAGCGAGCCATACTTAGACAGAAATTCGACATAAGCGGGATCATG